TAAAATCGTTTGTCACGTTTTGCACATAAAAGGATTTTCAATTTTCCAATGTGACAAGCGCGCATTTGCATACTGAAGTTGAAATGTGTTGAATCGAAGCACCGCGGCGGGGACATTCGATGGTCGTTGGAGGGGCGCAGCCAAATGCGAAGCAAATCAAATCAAATTTTATGTAATGCCATGACCAAAAAAAAGGAGCCTTTTGAGGCGGCATTTTGAGATTTTTCGCTTTTTATTATCAATAAAATAAATTAAATCAAATTCTGCAATTTAATTGCCGTCGTAAAAACAAAGCAAAGTCTGAAGAAGTGATAGGAGATAGGGATAAAGAGAGAGAGAGAGAGAGATAAAAAGTGCTGAGAATTTGAATTTGTCTTGTGGCTGTGCGGACATATTATGAGAATGTGCCACAAAATGTAGCAAGCAAAATGCGGATGACACACAAATGGAGAAACGTGTAAAGATTCGATATTGCACCAATAGCTGTATTTTTTTTTATAATTTTTTATTATTTTTTTTGTTACATTAGCCAAGTGCAGTGTGTGCATAAAATCGTATTCAAGGCTTTGCGACTTACTGAAGCTCGCTTTCGTATGCCCTTACTATGAGACTCTTCTGAATGTGCCAGGCTGTAAGGCATAGACCCTGAATGAGAGGGAAATTATAATTAAACATTTAGCTATATTCATTTTAATTTTATATAATATTATTACTATTTTTAGTAGATATCTATACATACATATATATACATATATTTATATATGTATATATATATATTTATATATGTATATATTTATATCTTTATCTTAGAGTATTTATAATTCGCCTGAAGATCTTAGTTTGTTGCCTCAACAGTTGAAGCATGCGTTTTTATGGTCATGTTGTTCTCCCTGATTTTTGGGAGTAAAGTATCTGCATCTGCATAAGTGGTCTAACGAGCAAATAGGTTTTATGTGTGTGTGTGTGCGTGTGTGTTTGTTGTGTTCTCCTTAACGAGATTTATTTGTAGACAGCAGTTGGTGCCTATGTTTTTATGGCACAACAGCCACAGACAAATTCATCAACCTAACGACAAGGACGACCGTCTCTGGGAGCTATTATTGCCACCCAAAAATACATTTCATACGCGCCAAAGATGAGAAAAAATAAAAAACCAAAAAAAAAAAAAAAGTAGAAATCGTTGAAAACCTAGCAAAAAAATTAAATTGCATTTGTATGTTTCGCTCGCATGTAAGCAGAGACATCTTCTGCTCCTGCCTTTTTCTTGCTGGCTGTATCTATCGGATGCATCTATTATGTGTGTGCATCTGCAAGTTTTGCGACTCTCTCTCTCTCACTCTGTGTGTGTGTGTGTGCATGCATTAGTTAAGCTTTACATTTGCACATTAAAAGGCGAATTGTGTTTGAGCGTTTTGTGCATTTCTTGCCGCACACAACTGCAAATTTTGCTAAGCCCTTAATAGGGATTCAAGTCGAAATATTCTTGAAGCATTAAATACAAAATAAAATAAAGTGTATTAGTTTAATGAGCTTTCACTTCAAAGTGCTATGAAGCTGATGCCAGCAACGTGGAATTTCAGAAATTTATTTGGTTCTTAAGTTTTACATGTAATTTTGATTTATTTTTAAGACACATGCTCAACAATTTTGCCTTTCAGTAATATTATAAATAAAATATGAAATGTTGTATTTATGTTTTATCAAAATATTTTCCAAGCAATATTCAAATAAATATTTTGAAAAATACTATTATAAAATTCTATTCTAAGAGCTGCAGATAGAGTGTGTAAAATGTGTAAGACCAGAAATATTCAAGCTGATCGAATGTCGCTGCTAAAGAAGACAAGAGCCATCTTCAGCTCCTTGAAAACATGTTTAAATGACGAAAAAGAAAATGTTACCAACAAATTTTACACTAATTATGTATTTGTAGAAAGCTTAACGAGGAGCTGTACCAATAATAGAGCTAAACCGATCAACAATTGGATTCTGGCCAAATTTGTGTATATTCTACGGCGTTCTGTCTGCGTGTGTGTGCGTGTATGTAGGTGTGTACAAAAAAAGTAATTAAGCAATTCGAACGCTTTTTGACATTTCCAAAAATATGTCAACGCGAAAGGCGAGTGACTAGAGAGTGTGCAAAAAAGAGAAATAAAAATCGAAAGGCAAAGAAATGGCAAACTGATGCCTAAGGCCCAGTTGAGCTATGGCAATTGCTGTTGCTATATATTGCCAAAAAGCCGAAACACAATCGGAACGTAATGCTAGATCGGGCGGCTAGACATACTCATATGTGTGTATATATATACTAAAATTATAGCTCTATCGATTGTTGTTGTTGGGTTTTTTGGATGTTATTTTTATAGCTGTGCGCTGTTCGCATTGGCACGACGAGGCAGCAGTTCGACGATCGGCCGATCTTACGTATATGCCAAAGCGGCTAAGTATAGACAGTGCCCGAGTGTATATAAGTGTGTGTGCAAGTGTGTGTGTGTGTGTGATATGCGCCTGCGTAAGAGGATCAGTGGTGTGGATCATTTGAGGCGGAATGTGGAAGCAAAAAGCCCAACAACAACAAGATCGACGAAGACGACGACGATGACGACGACGACGACAACGTCGAAGACTTTGGTATATTTTGGGCGTACGATCTTAGCTATATAGCCAGCTATATATCAATAGATATATACGCCTTATATACATGCCTGCAGCAAGACAAGAAGACGGGACAAAGCTATAAATATATATACTTATATGTGTATATATATATATATTGCTGTATATATGAACGCAATGAAAGTTCTCATCGTTGCGGGCACTGGCAGGCGGGGTAAATGAGCGGGGCAGTGGGTGTTGGCGAGGCAGCTCTCGATTCTTTGATTCTTGTGTTCTCGGATCTTTTTGGGGTAGCGTTCGCTCGGGCGTTCGGGCAGCCGGTACAGTTATAGCCGGGCAACGCGTTGGGGGCCGCCACAGTCAGCGCCAAGAATTAATTTGAGAATATTTTTTGCATCCTTTAGTGCATTACCGATTCTGTTCTCGAGCTGTGCAGATCGCCTGACTCCGGCCAGGTCTCGCCACTTTGTTTATAATATACAAAAAAAAAAAAAATAAAAGAAAAGAAAATTACAAAAGGAAAAGAAAAGCAAAAAAGAAACCCTGATCAAGTGCTGACAACCTGTGCTCAAATAACAAAATCATTTTATAAAACATTTCAAAAACATTAAAAATTATTTTTAAAAATAAATTGAAACTGTTCAACGCGAAAGTGAAAGGACTCATATGGATGGCAACAGTATCCGAAGTCTTTGTAATCTGCCAAAGTTCAGTTCAACAATTTGCAGCCTTTGGCTATTTATGGAGCATGCTAAAAATTTTTAAAAATACAACAGAAACAGCACAGAAATCGCTAGAGAATTGCGCATGTGGCTGTCTCTGTGACTGGGCCTGTCTGTGTGTACTTGTGTGTTTGTGTGTGTGTGTGTTTGTATTTGTGTGAGCGCCTGAGCCTCTGGGCTGAGGTATGCGGCTAACATGCTCATCGCTATTTTTGTATATATAGCGGAAGAAATACGTCTATAAAACCAACTACAACATATAATATACAGATCATGCATATATGTCAATGAGTTGAGCTTGTTTCATTTCAAATGCTAAAAGTTATATAAACTGTAGCATTCCATTATTTCTTTTATTAAAACTTAACTTTTTAAGTCCTCTCTCGTTTGCTAAAAATATATTTATTTAGTTATATAACGAAAAAGTACAGTTTGCAAATTGTATTCTTTTTTTACACTCTTTTATACAATGGAAGAAATAATTTTTAAGCTAACTCTAAATGTATTTTCTGTAGATTCTTTAACGAGGCTCTACTTAAATACTTTCAATTTATATACATACATATTTAAATACATTTTTTTTTATCCTTTAATCACTTAGATCCTTGTCAACATATTAACATTAACCGTTTTACGAATGCAGCTCGTTAATTAATTTGAATTAAAATATGTGCGCTTTAACAGCATTTAAATAATTAGTTACATGGCCGCCGTTGATGCAATGCTATTATTATTCTTGTCTGTGCACAATATTCACAATTTTATACCCGCCCCCACAGCCTTTCTCTTCTTGTCACTGTCCCACTCTAGCCTTGGCTGTGTCATTACACATAGTTAGCTCGCCATAAACAGGCATTTTAATATAAATGAAAGTGTGTAAAATATGGAAACAGTGCATTAAAAAAGTGAGTGTAGTGGCGTGTAGAATTATCGACTTTTCTAGGAACTTTGTTCTGCACTCATTGAAAACAATTTTTGTTGATTTGCTTTGAGCATAATACACTTTCTATTTCATTTGTTGAACTTAGTTTTTTTGTTTTAAATGGCTTTAAAAATAATTTTCTGAATTGATAAACTTTTCTGCACGAGATAATACAGTAATCTAAATTCTTATGTTCAACTTGTGGCAAAGTTCCTAAAAGATCATTACATATTTCTTTGGAATATTCAAGCGCATCCTTCCTACCGGCTGTTTGTACCTTACTTTCCACCTTAACTAAAATGAATTATATATTAACCTCCAGTGGGATTCGATTAAGCTTCATTGCAACGCACATAACACGTTAATTGAAGGTAAATTTTAGTTAAATATTCAATTTAATAATGCATATGCAATACAAGTATCCTAATATAAAAGACATTCTAAAAATGGCTGTAAACATTTCTCAAAACCTGAATTTGTGGTATTAATGTCCAAAACAAAAAGGACAAAATTGGAGACTCGCAAGCAATTACTTCTTGTTAGGCCTGGCCATGTATCATGGTCTTCGGATGTTATACTTTCCGCAATATATTCTCTTTAGATACTGGTCTCGATAAGGCACTCCCCAAAGCACATGTTGGTGGCTTCGACTTTAGCATAGTCTTAGATTCTGGCACACCTGTTGGCAATAGCATAGTTTGTGGTAGTATAGCTGTTGCCAAAGGCGTTAACTTTGACTCTTTCTCGTTATGTCCTTTGGATTTATTAGCTGTGGTAGTTTTCGTACCTTCCTCGTCCCCATCTTTGGTCGCATGGTCGAACGTTTCCTTGGACTTTGCCGCTGGCTCGCATTCTGTTACAGCTGTCGCAGTTGGGGCAATATCTGCGTCTCTCAGGCTTTGAATATACTGTACCTTCTTCGTCTTCCTCAAGTGTGGAATCTCCCTTTATCTTCCTTCTGGATGCTGGTCCAGGTGTGTCACTTCCCGAATCACATGTTTTCAGTGGCTTTGGCTCCTTAGTCTTTGGCTCTGTACTTCCAAGCATCATAGGTTTATTAGCCGTGTGGCTTGTCACTTGTCTTTCGCCTTCATCATCGGAGGAGTGATATACTTTCCGTGGTCTGCGCTTTGTAGGTACGTCACTTTCCGAATCATATGTTTTCTGTGGTATTGCTCCAGGCGCAGACTTCGACCCTTTTCTGCCACATCTCAAGCATTTCTTAGCCGAGCTGGTTTTCGAATCTCGTGTTGTAGGTGATGTCTGTGACAGCTTTGGTTTTCTTCTGCAACATACCATATATTTCATAGGCCCACGTTCTTTGTCTTTGTCTTTGTCTTTGTCCTTGTCTTTGCCTTTGTCTTTATCTATGTCTTTGTCTTCATCATCACTGGAATAATACTTTCTTGGAGATATTTTTTTTCTATATACCGGTTCAGAAAAGTCACTTCCCGAATCACATGTTTTCAGTGGCTTCTGAGCCTTTGGCTCTGTACTTCCAAGAACCATGGGCTTATTTGCCGTGCTGCTTGTAAATGGTCTTTCGCCTTCATCCTCGGAGGAGTGATACACTTTCCGCAATTTTTCCTTTCTAGGTTCGTCACTTCCCGAATCACATGTTTTCAATGGTATAGGTGTTGCCCCAGGTGCTGACTTTGAACCTTTTCTGCCACATCTCAGGCATTTCTTAACCGAGCTGGTTTTCGAATCTCGTGTTGTAGGTGATGTCTGTGACAGCTTTGGTTTTCTTCTGCAACATACCATATATTTCATAGGCCCACGTTCTTTGTCTTTGTCTTTGTCCTTGTCTTTGTCTTTGCCTTTGTCTTTATCTATGTCTTTGTCTTCATCATCACTGGAATAATACTTTCTTGGAGATATTTTTTTTCTATATACCGGTTCAGAAAAGTCAGTTCCCGAATCACATGTTTTCAGTGGCTTTGGCTCCTTAGTCCTTGGCTCTGTACTTCCAAGCACCATGGGTTTATTTGCCGTGCTGCTTGTAAATGGTCTTTCGCCTTCATCATCGGAGGAGTGATACACTTTCCGCAATCTGTCCTTTCTAGGTTCGTCACTTCCCGAATCACATGTTTTCAGTGGCTTTGGCTCCTTTGCATCTGTACTGCCAAGCATCATAGGTATATTAGCTGTGCGGCTTGTCGCTTGTCCTTCGCCTTCATCATCGGAGGAGTGATACACTTTCCGTGGTCTGCGCTTTGTAGGTACGTCACTTTCCGAATCATATGTTTTCTGTGGTATTGCTCCAGGCGCAGACTTTGACCCTTTTCTGCCACATCTCAAGCATTTCTTAGCCGAGCTGGTTTTCGAATCTCGTGTTGTAGGTGATGTCTGTGACAGCTTTGGTTTTCTTCTGCAACATACCATATATTTCATAGGCCCACGTTCTTTATCTTTGTCTTTGCCTTTGTCTTTGTCTTTGTCTTTATCTTTATCTTTATCTTTATCTTTATCTTTGTCTTTGTCTTCATCATCACTGGAATAATACTTTCTTGGAGATATTTTTTTTCTATATACCGGTTCAGAAAAGTCAGTTCCCGAATCACATGTTTTCAGTGGCTTTGGCTCCTTAGTCTTTGGCTCTGTACTTCCAAGCACCATGGGTTTATTTGCCGTGCTGCTTGTAAATGGTCTTTCGCCTTCATCATCGGAGGAGTGATACACTTTCCGCAATCTGTCCTTTCTAGGTTCGTCACTTCCCGAATCACATGTTTTCAGTGGCTTTGGCTCCTTTGCATCTGTACTGCCAAGCATCATAGGTATATTAGCTGTGCGGCTTGTCGCTTGTCCTTCGCCTTCATCATCGGAGGAGTGATACACTTTCCGTGGTCTGCGCTTTGTAGGTACGTCACTTTCCGAATCATATGTTTTCTGTGGTATTGCTCCAGGCGCAGACTTTGACCCTTTTCTGCCACATCTCAAGCATTTCTTAGCCGAGCTGGTTTTCGAATCTCGTGTTGTAGGTGATGTCTGTGACAGCTTTGGTTTTCTTCTGCAACATACCATATATTTCATAGGCCCACGTTCTTTGTCTTTGTCTTTGTCTTTATCTTTGCCTTTGTCCTTATCTTTGTCTTTGTCTTTGTCTTCATCTTCACTGGAATAATACTTTCTTGGAGATATTTTTTTTCTATATACCGGTTCAGATAAGTCACTTCCTGAATCACATATTTTCAGTGGCTTCTGAGCCTTTGGCTCTGTACTTCCAAGCACCATGGGCTTATTTGCCGTGCTGCTTGTAAATGGTCTTTCGCCTTCGTCTTCGGAGGAGTGATACACTTTTCGCAATTTCTCTTTTCTAGGTACGTCACTTTCCGAATGAGAAGGTTTTAGTGTCTCTGGTGTTTTCCTAGGCGCAGACTTTGAACTTTTTCTCCCACATTTTATACATTTCTTAGTCCACGTAGTTCTCGAAGTTCTCGAAGTTCTCGTAGGTTTTTTGTCTTCCTCATCGCTGGAATAATACTTTTTCCGCGAGATGTACTTTTTAGATACCGGTCTAGATAAATCACTTCCAGAATCACAAGGTTTCAGGGGCTTTGGTTCCTTTGCCTTTCTTTTGCAAAAAATCAAGGGCTTATTAGCATTGGGGCTTGGCACATATGTTCCATATTCATCATCGGTCAAATGGCCCGCTTTCCGTGATTTCTTCTTTTTAAATAGCCGTTTACAAAAGTAACTGCCCGACTCAGATTTTTTAGCGGGGATAGGCGCAGACTTTGAACCTTTTCTGCCACATCTCAAGAATTTCTTAGTCCAGGTGGTTTTTGTATCACGTGTTGAAACAGACTTTGGTTTTTTTCTCAAGCATGCCAAACATTTCTTATCCCAAAAAGTTTTCTTACGTTGTTCGCCTTCCTCACCGCTGGAATGATACTCTTTTCTACCACATCTCATGCATTTCTTAGCCCAGGTTTTTATTTTGTCACGTGTCTTCAGTGGAGTAGGTGTTTCCTCAGACTTTGGTTTTTTTCTGAAACATCCCAAACATTTCGAAATCAATGTACTTTTCGTACATTTTTTGCCTTCCTCATCGCTGGAATAAGTATCTTTATCCAAATGGCTCTTTCTAGGTACCGGTTGAGATACGTCAGATGTTTCCAGTGGGATAGGCGCAGACTTTGAACTTTTTCTGCCACATCTCATTAGTTTCTTAGCCCAGTTGCTTTTGGAATCTGGTGTTTCCGATGGCCTTAGTTTTTTTCTGCAACATACTAAACATTTCGTAAACCATCTAGTTTTCGTAAGTTTTTTGTCTTCCTCATCCTCTCCAGACAATTCACTCTTCGAGCGCCGTTTAAGATCATCTGCATCTTCATCTGGTGCTGCCATTGGTACTGGCTCTGCCTCTGGCTCTGGCTCTGCCTCTGGCGCTGCCTCTGGCTCTGCTTCTGGCGCTGCCTCTGGCTCTGCCTCTGGCGTTACCTCTATTTCTAGCGCAGTCAATGCCTCTGAAGGTACCATTGATACTGGCCCTTCGTCTGGCTCTGCCTCTGACATTGTCGCTGACACTGCCTCTGGCAGGGTCTGTGGCTTTGTCGCTGGCAGTGCCTTTGGTTTTGGCTCTGGCACTGAAGGACAGAAACAATAATCTGGCGCTTGTGGTTCTGCTTCGGAAGATGTCATTTGCGTTGCCTTTGGCACTACACATTCCTCTGACTCTTCAGGACAGAAACAATATTCGGGCTCCATCATTGCTTCTTGCGTTGTCCTTGGCGCAATTGCAATCCTTGTCGCAGGCTTCGATGTTCTCGCAACGTTGGTTTCCGATGTTGCCATTATCGCAGGTGCTGCCATTATCGTTTGCACTTTCCCTAGAGCAGCTTTAGCCGCTGTCACAGGATCTACTCTTGTGATTTGTCCAGTATCATTACCAATAATATAGTATAATGGATCGAACTGGCATAGACGCTCCTGAAACAGATTCGGGCCTGGAAAACTGGGTTGAGTGCCACGATGGCTCACAGCATAAGCAGCACAAATATTAGCAGCAGTAATGTGACTCTCTCGTATCAGATTTGGATAGATCGCTATATGGTAGGCTAAGCTACCCAGAAAAGCATCGGACGCACCCGAAGTATCTGTCAAATGGAGTGCAAGCGCTGCCGGGCACTGGGTACACAAGTCAGGTTCACTGCTAGACAAGTAAACGGCGCCCATATCGCTCATGGTAATGATCACGCTTTTCGCACCCATTTTAATCAGACGCGTAGCTGCTGCTTTGGCATCCTGTAATGTGACAATCTGCCTACGATTGGTTAGCTGCGCCGCTTCTAACCTATTGCAGCACAAAATTGTTGGTGCTCTGATCAGTTCCGAACTCAGCTTTCTGTGGGCGGGCGAGGCGTTCAGTATGGACACGCCCTTGAAATGATTCAGTGCAAAGAGGACAGCCTTCTCGTCTGTTTCTAGCTGGCAAAGAAGGACCTTGGATTTCCCGAACAATTTTTTGGCGTTTAGAACATCAGTGCTTTTTAGCAATAGATTCGCGCCAGATAGCACAATGTTCATGTTTTGAGCATTGTCCGCGACATTGATTTCAGTCAGACCCGTGCTCTGGCCTGCGACTATTCCAACGTGCTCTACATTAATTCCTAACTTCGTCAAATATTCCAAGTATTTTACGCCCAGTTCATCGTCGCCCAATTTGGAAATTAGAGCACAGTTGGCACCTAATTTGGCAGCTGCAACACACTGATTAGCGCCCTTGCCCCCATAACAACGTTCACGGTGCATGGCAAACACAGTCTCCCCTGTTTTGGGCAGCTCATTGACATACCTGCATGAATTTGACATAACTTTTCTAGTGTCGATGATAAATTGTGTGGAGGTAAGCTTACATAATATAGTCGATATTTGAGGAACCAAAGACCAAGACATCCAGCTCCATTTCGTCCTTTTTGTGCTTGCAAGGGGCGGGGTATTTAAAAAACGTAACGATTTCACATTTTAAACGAATGACAGAAAATTCGTTTTTCCACTTGTATAAATTACCTTTTTATCAGAAAATTAATGAAGTACTTTTCATTTCCGATTTCTGTGGAGCAACGTTTAGAATATCGGGTTTAAATAGCATAAAATAATGATTAAATTATTACAAGCATTAGAGTTACATATACAGCCTATAGGAAGAATAAATAGCTGGTTAGAGCATTATGAATTATGATGCATTATGAAGCAAAGTTAGAAATTATCGGAACAAATGTTCATCGATGTAAAAAATCTCTAGTTGGGGAATTTCGACTAGGAGAATCCCTGAACCCCGAGAGATCTGCGTTTTAAATGATACTCCATTATTAAGCATGCAAAAATGTATTAAGTTTCAATCGATTATGTAAATGGACAGACGAATAGTTGGGCGGTCGGACGTACGGATTGACGGGTGGATGGACGGACGGACGGACATATGGATTTCTGGACAGAAGGACAGATGATGGATGGATAAACGGACGGACGGACGGTCGTATAGATGAACGGATGGACGGACCGACGAACATATGGGCACTCGGACGGATGGATATACGGACAGATGGAAGGACAGACGTATGGGCGGACGAACGGACTCAACTCATCATCTTGATAAAGAATATATACACCTTATGGGGTCAGTCACGCCTCCGTCAATTACATTTTTATATTTTCGACATTTTTGATGTCTCTAATTAGCATTTGCAATGAGTACAGGGTACAGAAATAAAAGTCCAATAAAGTATTCTCTTTAGAGATTTTTTATTTGAAAGATGAGAAAATAACCTTGGGCATGTTGAGACTCGAAAATTTTGAGCATAAAAAATTGCAAAATTTAATTATAATTAAATCACTTTTACTCGTTGCTGGACGGCTTAGAATCAGAGATACTCTCGATTGAAGTTTGTAACATATGATTAACATTCAAGATTTGAGCTGTTGATTTGCTAGTTGGTGTTGATACAGCCTCTGCGGCCGCTATTGCTGCTGGTGCTGCTTTTGATGCTGGTATTGCCAATGCCGCCTGCGTGGCTAATAGCGTTGGTATTGGCTCTGTCGCTGTTATTCGTTCTGGCTCTTTCACTGCCTCTGACTCTTTCACTGGTTCTGGCTCTCTTACTGGCTCTGGCTCTTTCACTGACTCTGGGTCTGTCCTTACCTCTGCCGCAGCCACTGGTGCTGCTTCAACCGTTGACACAGGCTCTACTGTATCATCATCAATAATATAGTATAATGGATCGAACTGGCATAGACGCTCCTGAAACAGGTCCGGGCCTGGGAAACTGGGTTGAGTGCCACGATGGCCCACAGCATAGGCAGCACAAATATTAGCAGCAATAATGTGACTCTCTCGTATCAAATTTGGATAGATCGCTATGTGGTAGGCTAAGCTACCCAGAAAAGCATCGGACGCACCCGAAGTATCTGCCAAATAGCGTACAGGTGCTGCCGGACACCGGGTACACAAGTCAGGTTCACTGCTAGATAAGTAAACGGCGCCCATATCGCCCATGGTAATGATCACGCTTTTCGCACCCATTTCAACCAGATCAGTAGCTGCTGCCTTGGCTTCCTGTAATGTGACAATCTGCTCACGGTTGGTCAGCTGCGCCGCTTCTAACCTATTGCAGCACAAAATTGTTGGTGCTTTAATTAGCTCCACATTCATGTTTTTGTGTGCAGGCGAGGCGTTCAGTATGGACACGCCCTTGAAATGACGCAGCGCATAGAGGACAGCCTTCTCGTCTGTTTCTAGTTGGCAAATTAACACCTTGGAGTTCTTGAATAATTTTTTGGCGTTCGTTGCATCGGCGCCCTTTAGTAATAGATTCGCGCCAGATAGCACAATGTTCATGTTTTGAGCATTGTCCGCGACATTGATTTCAGTCAGACCCGTGCACTGGCCTTCGACTATTCCAACGTGATCGACATTTATTTCTAAATTCTTCAAATATTCCAAGTATTCTACGCCCAGTTCATCGTCGCCCAGCTTGGAGACTAGAGCACATTTGGCACCTAATTTGGCAGCTGCAACACACTGATTAGCGCCCTTGCCCCCATAACAACGTTCACGGTGCATGGCAAACACAGTCTCCCCAGTTTTGGGCAGCTCATTGACATACCTGCATGAATCTGAAATAATTTTCTGGTGTCAATGACAATTTTCGCTATCGCGAGCTTACGTGATATAGTCGATATTTGAGGAACCAAAGACCAAGACATCCAGCTCCATTTTTTCCTTTTTGTGCTTGCAAGGGGGCGGGGTTGTTAAAAAATTTATTAACTTCAATTTCAAAAGGAATGACTTAAAACTCGATTTTAAGGATTTATACATAGTACTTATATATCACCAAACCAAATAAAAACAGCAATTTGGATTTCTGTGGAGCAACGTTGAAAATATCTGGCTTACAATAACACACAACATGTAATGATTAAATTAAACTTCAAACATTTGACTAGCGTATACAGCCAACTATAGGCAGAATAAAATGTTGATTATAGTATTTCAGATATAGCTAATGATTAAGATAGAGGTTTATTGTTGGAAAGATTCTACAGAAAATGAACCTAAGCATTAAAAGTTGCAAAATTTAATTATTGCTAATTGAAGTTTGCTGGTTAATGAACTGTTTAGAATGCGAGTTACTCTCGATTGAAATCTTTAACATGTGATTAACATTTGACATTAGGGCTGCTGATTTGTAGTAGAACTGTGCACCACATGCTCTGGTCTGGCCTGGCCCGCTACACTTAAGGCGGGCCCTGGGAAACGCCTGCAGGGTCTGCAGATTGCATCCATGTGCCACATCCTGCAGCAACAACAATGACACTGACGCAGACATTGACGCCGCGTGGGTATTGCCATCGAAAGAGCAATGCATTTGTTGATGCTCTTCAAGTAGGTAAAAACTATAAACGGGGCACATGTGCGCGTCGCGAGTTGGACTTGACCTGCTAGCGGGTCGACTGCGACGCTTCATGTGGGTCTCCAATTGAGACGAGGCGAAGGCTGGCGAGATTTTTAATTTTAGAGGCACCTATATAAACGTCTGTTTACAATGCGCTTAGAGGACAGTCGCATTCGCCAGGGCGCAACGTTCACGTTACCATCTCGCTCGAGCTAAGTTTGGTTTTTCGTTTGGCATCTAGTTCCTAAATCGAAACTGCATTCGTTTGTGAGCTACGCGGATTTCGGTTTGTGTGGCACATTTCTTGCCCGGAATGTGAACAAAAACCAACAAAAAAGATACAAATTAAACAAAAAATGTAAAGAAAAAATCGTTTAAGCGCAAAGCCAAAGCCATATACAGAGACACAGCGGGTGCTGGGGAGTGTTCGGCTCTGGCCATGTGGCGCAAAATATGCGCATAAAAAACAAAGTCCAAACAAAAAGGGCGCAATTTTATTGCGGGCGCCGCGATGCTCCTCACACACAGGAAAAAAACCAACAACAAACAGCTGGAAAAAAGTTTATGAATTTTTTGTGCAGGCGCGTGAAAAATGTAACAAAACAAAAATAAAAAACCAAGTAAAGTAAAAACAAAAGCAGATACTACGCGAATGCGAGTTGTATTCAAGTTGTATTCCGGCAACCACGCCCGCCGCCCACCACCACGTCCCCTTCCGCCACACCGCTCAGTCACATATAAACACACTTCAGTGCGCTTAAAAATTGCTTTATTGCAGTTGGACTATAAAAACGCACGGCAAAAGTATTAAGCACATTCGCCCTTCCCAAAAAGTACAAAATAAAAACTAAATAAAAGTAAAAACCACCAAAGCCAACGAGAAACAGGAAAATTTGCAAGCCACAACCGGAGCGCAAGAAGCACAAGGATACCAAGGATTTACTTCTAAAACAGTAAAAGAAATAAAACTTAACAAAAAATAGAAACAAAATACCAACTGAATAGTTGGATATGAATTGCCCCGCAAATTGCAGTTAGAGTATTGTGTAAAATGTTTCGCTGCAATTACATTCAGCATTATCATTATTTAAGTGAAAAGCAGGCGGGGTAAATGGCAAATGGAAAATGGAAAATGGAAAATGCGTAAAACGGTAGCCGCATCACAAAGTAAGTAACAATAAAGACAAAAGTGTATTGCCCACAAATGGGTCTTAAATTGTTCATTTGGCCTTTGAGAGTTCCATGCTTCCTTGCATTCAATAGTATTTACATAAGCATATGGAATGTAAAGAAGTATGGAGCGAAATCTGGCGAAGCATCGTATAAAAGATTCGTATTTTATATTATTGAGACATATATAAATTATTAAGTACAAATCATTTACAATTTTAATTTTATTAAAAAAAAAATAAAAAAGTTGGCTTTTTAAAATTTTGTTATATATAAGTATACAATATATATATCAAATATATTCACACAGTATTTTAAATATATTATTTGATGTATAATACATTAAATTATTTTTTTTTATATTTAATCTTACTTATGTAACTATACTTATTTTATAAAAATAATAAATAATTTTTTATATTATATAAATAAGCATTTATATATATTTAATAAATTTAAAAATATTTTTATACAGAAACATTTTTATTATCCTTTCGTCAAGGCCAACTGTGAGAAAACAGTGAAAAAATATGAAAATATCTACCAAATGGTAGCACTTATATTTGCCTATGGAGTGACTCATGTTAAAAATAGCAAACGAGCAGCAAACATTTTGAAATATGTGAAAAAATATTTGTATATTTTTACACATATATATATGAATGCGTATATATGGATGTAGCCATAGCTGTAGTTGCCGCGTATCGCATTTCGTTGTATCTATTGAAAATGTTGTTAAAAATAAATTCAAGTGGACGAACCATTTGTGGAGCATGGCAACAAATGTTGTTTAGTTAAGTTTGCTGCACATATTATATAAATAGTCTGCTTATGTGAGTGTGTGTATTGTGTGCTTGTGTAACTTTTATCCAGGGCTTTCAGGGTTTTGTGGGCGCGAGCCAGTTCGAATTGCAGTTAAGCACAGGACAGCTAAGCCCCAAACATGTGCAGCAAAGTGGATTTAGCCAGCTGAAATTATCGCTGGGTGCCGCAAGCTGAGGGCTATGTGGCGCATGTGACGCCATCCAACGGCGTCGGTGGCTATAACTTAATGCAATTAATATGCAAAATCGTGACACACACACATACACGCACACACGCGCGCATCCAAAGAGTGTAAGGAACACGTGCACAGCATGTGCGGAACGATGCAGTCAAGCAGGTTCAGGTTCAGGATCGTGTGCAGCAACAGTAACGAATCCAGCCGCTAGGAGTGTGGGTCGTGGGCGTGGCCATTGGTGTGGGAGCCATCATCATCATCATCGTCGTCGTCGTCGTCGTCGTCGTCGTCATTGCTGTAGTCGGTGGAGCGCATTAAAAACAGCGCAGCGAAGGCAAAGTGCGCCAAATTGATGAGCGTCACGTGCGTTTTGCTCACTTTGTGCCACGCCTGCAGCTGGCGGTGTCATTCGCCATGTGTGTGCGTGGGTGGGCATGTGTGTGTCTGTCAGTGCTATCAACTTAGCGGCTTTCTTCAATTGTTTTTCGGCTGCTTTTACAGCTATAGTTTTTAAAAATTCCAATTTATGAAATAGAAAACTTTGAAAAAGCTGTTGATAATAAAAATAAATTTATAGAATTGAAAGAAGAGAAAGAAATCAATTGTTGACCATTGACGTTTAGAGCATTATAGATTAACGCCTACTAGTCAGAAGCTCAAAGCCAAACTACGTCAAATTAGTTCAATTATATTCCAAATAATATACATAAAAGATCTATATCTTAGAGATTTTATTAAAATATGTATGTACTTCATTATTTAAATTAATTTAATATTTCAAACTGCAAAACCTTTTGATTTTTCATATTGTAGGACTAAGGGAAATAAGTGAAAGTGGTCAGAGAAATATCCTGAAATATTCTGCATCCAAAAGAAACAAGATGCCACCAGAAACTTGTACACTATATGTTTTATGTACAAGAGTACAAAATTTGATATAGGAATTTTAATTAGTTCTTTATGTACACAACGCAGACTCGCAACTTCATACAGAGTATCTCCTAGTCAATCTAGATTTGTTTTTAAACATTTAACAATCTACTTTTATATTTGACTGAGCAAACAACATCAAAACCTTTCGCATTTGTTCAACAGAAGTTTGCTTATTTAGCTGCAAATACTTAGCTTCTTTGCAGCTAAATTCTACAGCTGTCGCCCTAGTTCTTCTCTAGACTATTCAGTTATAAGTTTTTGTTGCCCTTGTTGCTTGCTGCTTGCCGTTGTTGTTGTTGTTGGGCTGCTGATGCTGTTGTTGCAGGACAAGTCGTAAAAGTAAACAGAGCATGTGCTGTAGCCACAGTACGCAGAGAGCAACCGTAGCACCCATAGTTCTCGTATTACTCGTTGTATGAGTTGCATGCTATAAAGCGCTTAATTTTTTTTACGTGTGCGCAATTTCTACAAGGTGAGAAATATGGCAAGCTATACAGGTGGCAGTTAGGTAGAGGGGAGTAGCTCTTGATTTTGTGCAGTCTATTTATATGGCTCACTCGCACTAGCTCAATGGTCACACACACACACACACAAATGCCATCAATACACACAAAACACACACGCACTGCGACTGCTAAAGCCGTTGACAAATATTTGGTGGCAGGCTGAGCTTGGGCACAAATTGACCCACATTTCGGACATAAGCGCTGACCGCTCGACAGACGCTGCTGTTGGTAATTTCCACGCCCCCATTGCGCTGCTTTAGTGCTAGGAGCGGCATTAAATATTTTGATGACGCCCGCAAAATGGCAAATTAGTTTCAATTAAATAATGTTGTCGCAGTTTAGACACAGCCCTACAGACGAGTCTCTTGCACTTCAGCTGCCACCCCTCGAGGACACATAGTGCGCACATCCATGCTGAGTTCATGCATAACGCAAATGTTGGGCATGTACAGCGCCGCAAGAAGCAACAACAGCCTTGTCATCGTGCTCGTCCTGGCATCCCAGCATGTCCAGGCAATAACGATTGTGGATTCAACATAATGCCCTCATAATTACTGCACACACGCCTCAAAGTGGCGGGCAGGGATGTCGCCGGCCAATGAGTTGACAGCACATTAGAATCTCGTTCCATAACAACCCGAGTCGCAGACCCAGACCCAGACCCTGAAACCCAGGCCCCAGCCCCATTTTGTATCCAGTCTCTGGACTGCAATTTGCATTAAATGTGCGCTTTGTGTTATTAATTTAAAGTGTTCTCATTTCTCATTAAAATCTATATGTGTCTGGCCTTGCCTTCAATCCTCTTGACTCTAATTGACGGAGAGGCAAAATATTTTTCACTTAAAATATGTGCAATGAATAAATTACAAATTTTTGCTCCACTAAATTTACTTAAAATTGAAGCACATAATTTTTAAGTGGGTTT